CCCTTTAAAAATATGTGAATCAGTTGCGTTCCAAAGTTTACGTGTATTGTCTGTCTCTATGTCCCCAGGAGACGTACGACCGTCTGCGGACTCTGACATACTCCGGAACTGACGTGTTCATCGTCTGCTACTCCGTGGCGGACCGGGATTCCTACACCAACGTCCGGTCGCGCTGGCTGCCGGAACTGAAAGAGTTCAAACCGAAAGTGCCCATCATCCTGGTCGGGACGCAGACTGACTTGAGGGAAAACAGTTCCAAAGACTCCTCTTTCTCCTCCGCCTCCTTCTGCCCTCAAAGCCCGAGTCACGTGTCCTACAAAGAGGGCAAACGATTGGCTCAGAAGGTACATGCAGAGATGTATGCCGAGTGTTCAGCGCTGACTGGCGAAGGTTTGGACAAAATTTTCTACCAAGCCATGATGACGGCAGCTTTCCCAAAGCGCAAGCGGAAGTTGTGGCAGAGTTTTAAAAGGATTTTTGCGAATGGGTGACGTTTTTCTATCTTGTCGTTCGGGTGATGGTGTCTTCCAGGATGTGACGTCATGCCGTGTGTGTTCGTAAGCTGTTGTGTGTTGCCAGAGCTTTGTTGTGACTACAGTGAACACATTCCACACTCTGTGTTATCAAGATTTTATTCCGAACACATTCCACGTCATCACAGTTCCACGAGAGACAAGCGAGGATACAACAGTTGTGTGAATAATGCCATTCAGACCTGGAACAGGCAGTACCATGGGGATTTTCCCATTGGAATGAAAATGAACATGACATTTTTTTCTACTGAAGCTAAAAGGAACGTGAGGTTTTCCCAGTGGTACAAAAAGGAATATGGGATTTTGCCACTTGAAAAAGGAACTTTGTGTTAAGCCACTTGGGAAAAGGAACTTGGAGTTATGTCACTGGGAGAAAAAAAACCCAACAAAATATGAGGTTTTCCCACACCATGATAGTGTCCCAAAGGGAACAGAATTGAACACATGGTTTGTTTGTTTTTCATATATATAAATATATATATA